CCGCTGCGTGGCGGCTGGGTCAGGTGCGTGACACGGCCCTCGCTGACTCGGGTTCCAGTTCAGACGCCGCAGTAGAAGGACCATCCTCAGCTCAGCAGGTGCTCTGGTGTTCGGGCCGTTCCCAGATCCAGGTCGGGCATGTCCTGCTACAGGCGGGCTTTGGGAGAAAAAGTACAAATATTCAAAACAAGTCAAAAGAGTACGACGAATCGTCCCCAGACTGTTTTTCAATCTCCGGAAATTTCTTCTGCAGAGGGACATACCCGACTTGTCCCAGATCCAGGTCGGGGAACTGCCGCGTGCTCGAGGCTCGCCGTGGCCACGAGAGCCCCTTCGTGGGCTGCAGCGGGGGCCCTGGTCCGCGCGCTCCCGAGCCACGCCCGGTGGGCGTTATCGTAAGTCGGGTATGTCCTTCTACAGAAGGACGTTCGGAGATAGTTACAACACATAGGGGAACATTTACCGTGCTCTTTAGATTTTTGTTGTTGTTGTTGTTGTTGTTGTTGTTGTTGTTGTTTTTGTTGTTGCTGCTGTTGTTGTTGTTGTTTTTGATGTTTTTGCTGCTGCTGCTGTTGCTGTTGCTGTTGCTATTGTTGTTGTTGTTGTTGTTGTTGTTGTTGTTGTTGTTGTCGTTGTTGTTGTCGTTGTCGTTGTCGTCGTTGTTGTTGTTGTTGTTGTTGTTGTTGTTGTTGTTGTTGTTGTTGTTGTTGTTGTTGTTGTTTTTGTTGTTGTCGTCGTCGTCGTCGTCGTCGTCGTCGTCGTTGCTGTTATTGTTGTTGTTGTTGCTGTTGCTGTTGCTGTTGCTGTCGTTGTTGTTTTTGTTGTTTTTGTTGTTGTTTTTGTTGTTGTTGTTGTTGGTGTTGTTGTTGTTGTTGTTGTTGTTGTTGTTGTTGTTGTTGTTGTCAGTCTTGTTGAAATCTCATTCTGAGGAATAGTTATGGTTGATCCCCCCCACTGGTACATGCTATTCTTTCTCAATCAAAGTGTGCCACTCGACGCTCGCACCCTGTTTTTTGACAGGGCAAGTCTTGATGCTCAAACTGGGCCCCTGGCCTCTGGGATTACAACAACGGCTCCCGCCTGAGACTTTTCCAAATCTACTCAGGACCCCCGCTCCTATTTACTCAGGATCGGTGCTCCCGCTTGTGACTTCCTCGCAATTTAGTTTGGACCCCCGCTCCCATCTGAGACTTCCACACAATTTACTCAGGAACGGCGCTCCCGCTTGAGACTTCTTCGTAATTGAATTAAGACTTCGTCGCAATTTAATCAAGACCCCCGCTCCCGCCAGAGAACCCTTCACATTTTATTCAGGAATTGCGCTCTCGCCTGTGACTTCCTGCAATTTATTCAGGAATCGCGCTTTCGACGCTCAGGAAACACGCTGCGCCAAGGACGCCGTTACAATTTACTTAGCAATCGCGTTCTCGCCATACTCAGGCATCCCGCTTGAATGTCCCACCCGCCCGACCCGCCCGTCAGGGGATCGCCCGCCCGTCGTGGGCTCCCGCCTGAGACTAGGACTTCCTCGAACGTTCACGCTCTTTCTTTCCTGCTCCTCCCTCTCCCTCCTCCCTCCTCCCTCCTCTCTTCCCTTCTCTCTCCCTCCTCTCTTCCCTCATCCTTATGCCTCTCTGCCCTATCCCCTCTCCCTCGTCTCCCTCCTCCCTTCTCCCTCCCCTCTCCTGCCTCCTCCCTCCCTCTTTATCTCTTTCTTTCTTTCTCTCTCTCTCTCCCCCCTCCCTCTCTCTTTCTCTACCTCTCTTATCTGTCTTTCTCTTTCTCTCTGCCTCTAATCAACTGCCCCCCTCTTCGCTCCTTCTCTCCTGGCGTTTTCCGTCTTCCTTCGTCCCTCCCCCTCCCTTCCTCCCACTCTGCCTCGTTCTCCCCCTCCTCTTTCTGCAGGGCCCACACCAATTCCAATGGCGGGCACATGTACGCCCACGACGGATTGTCCGCCCGCTCAGGTTTGCCCGCTTGTCTAAGCCCGCCCCCCCCCGCAAAGAGAAATAATCCCCCCAAAGGGGGTGTGATCGAAGACAAAAAGGGCGGGTATCGAGGGTGTGGGGAACTCGTCTTGAATGACACGCGGGCAAGGAAGAGCGAACAGTCTTATACTGATTGTTGTTGTTGTTGGTGGATACATCCAGTATTTTAACATTGATCCCCAAACCCGCCTGTATGAGGACGTGCCCGACTTGAGCGTAGCCGTCAGTCGCGGTCCCAGAAGCCCGCACGCGCGCAGGATCAGGCGCGCGGGAAGGGCACCACCCAGAGATCCGACGTTGCGAAAAAGCTGCAGCCTCATGAACAATCACGACCGGAGCCCCGGACCCCAGCCTTTTGCGGCCCAGAGGCCCAATCAGTTGCCCCCTGAGGAGGCCGACCCGACGACGACGACGGCGACGATGGCGACGACGACGACGGCGACGACGGCCACGGCGACGACGACGACGACGACGACGACGGCGATGACGGCCATGACGACGACGACGACGAC